AACCCTGCCTAAACGCCACTCATTGGACGGAAGGTTGTCCTCCTTGATGACGACCATATTCCCAACGCGGAGGTCCCTCGTAGGGGCTCGCCGCTTGTTCTTCTTATGGAGCTCCTTGAGGTACTCTTCCTTCCATCGCTGTCGAAATTGCTGCTGAAGAGCCTTGAGGTGTTGCCAGCGATTAATGATGGAAGTGGTATCCCCCTTTATCTCGGGCTCGACCGTGGCGAGAAGTGGGCCTCCCACAAGAAAAAGCCCGGGTGTAAGAGCCAACAGATCAGCGGGGTCTTCGAACATTGGCGCGATTGGCCGCGAATTCAGGCACGCCTCAATCTTCGCCAGGAGAGTAGCCAGCTCCTCAAAGGTGTATTTCCGCGTGGCGGTGGATTTCTAGAACAAGGTCTTGAAGCTCTTGACGCCTGCTTCCCACAGGCCCCCCATGTGGGGAGCTCCCGAAGCAATGAAATGCCAGAGAAGCTGCTGGTGACTATAAGCACCGGTCACAGCCCCCTTTAGGCTCTGGAGAAAATCGCAGGATATTAGAGCAGCTGCCCCCACAAAGGTCTTCCCGTTGTCAGGCTGCACTTGACGGGGGCATCCTCTCCGGGAAACGAACCGTGCGAAAGCCGCCAGAAATTTCTCGGTTGTAAGGTCCGACGTAGGCTCTAAGTGGATGACTTGACCAGATTCCTCACCCTTGGAATCCAGAATTTGGCCCGGATCAGACGGATCATCAGCTGATTGCCACCGTGCAGTGTGATGCGATGTGTAAATTAAACCAGGAGTCGTGACAGATGGCAGTCGTACGGAAGGATAATAGGGTGCCGCTCGTCATATTGGAGAAGCTCAGAGGACGTGACCCGGCCGCAGGCTCTCATAAGGCCTTGCGAATCCACGAAGGGGTTCAGATTTTGAATCGGACTGGATGCCGATATTGGATCGAATCTTCCGCGCGCGCTGGATGAAGCGATTAACAAAGGCAAGGACTCGTAATGCTTTTCGAGTGTGGAAAACCGTTAAAGAAGATCTTCGGGGGGACCCTTCGCGACATGGACCTTGACTGTTCCCTTCTCGAGTTCAGTCACGGGGGCATCATTGCCTTGAGTGGGCTAGTCGCTCCGAGGCCTTTGCAGCCAGTCAGGACCGTGCCAACATCACTGGTTATCCGCAACATCTTGGAGAGCGACGCCCAAGCTAGCGAGATCCGCAGGGTTCTGCTCGGAGCGGACATGTGCCCATTTCTGCACGTCGATGAACTGGGTGATCTTGGTCACCCGGTTGGCCACAAACGTTGTCCACTGGCACGCTGGCTTCTGCAGCCACGCAAAGAAAATAGTCGAGTCGGTCCAACAGTATAGGGCAGACGCGGCCCCTGGCATCTTTCGCAGAACGGCGGTGGCCATCTCGGACAACAACAAGGCACCGCACAGTTCTAGCCGAGGGAGCGACACCGTTTTAACTGGGGTCACTCGAGTCTTTGCAGTCAGCAGGGTCACTATTACCGTGGACCCAACATCGACACGAAGGTAAATTGCTGCGCCGTACGCTTTCTGTGAAGCGTCGCAAAACCCGTGGTGTTCGACCTTTAGGTGTGGTCGGAACGCGACCCACCGAGGAACACGAATCTGATCGAGCACCGAGTAATTCTTTAGGAAGTCAACCCATCGCTGACAGAAATCTTGAGGGAGGGCGTCGTCCCACCCTAGATCCAGAAGCCATATGTCTTCCATGAACATTTTTGCCCGACCAATGAAAGGAGCGAGCCAACCTGCTGGATCGAACAATTTGGCAATTTGGGAGAGGACTTGGCGCTTCGTGAAAGCCAAGCCGGAAGTCAATTCTGGCGGGACAAAAAAGAATTCATCAGTCGTCGCTTTCCACCGCACGCCGAGTGTCTTGGCCGTGCTCTTTGCATCGATGTCGAGAAAGTCAGCATGGAGACGGTGGTCGATCGGAATGTCGGCCAGGATTGCCTTGTTATTCGACGTCCATTTCCTAAGTGGGAACCCTGCTGACTCTAGGGCCCCTTTCAGCTCCATAATCGCAGCTTGGGCTTCAGTTTTGGAGTCTGCCCCCGCGAGAACGTCATCAACGTTCATAAAATGCCGGATAGTTTGGCTTGCCTGCGGATACTTTGACTCTTCGTCGTCAGCGAGCTGTTGCAGGACACGGATCGCCAGGAACGGGGCACAATTGACACCGAAGGTGACCGTTTTCAACTCGTAGTCGCGGATATCCCCATCGGGATTGCGAAACAAAATACGTTGGAGCGGAGTATGCTTGGGGTCTACCCAAATTAGCCGATACATTTTCTCGATGTGGCCGTTGAAGAAAAACCTAAAGTATCGCCACTTTAGGATTTGAATCGTCAGGTCGGATTATAAGACCGGGCCCGCGTAAAGAATGTCGTTCAGACTTGTCCCGTTTGCGGACGGGCTCGAAGCATTGAAGACTACTCGCACCTTGGTGGTCGTGCTTTCGGGCTTGAGGACGGCATGATGTGGGAGATAGTAGGTAGCGGAATTGCTTGCGGGAGAGACCTCGGTCATGTGGCCTAAGTCGATGTACTCCTGGATTACCGAGTCATAGCGGGCTTTAAGGGGCGGGTCCCTCTTCAGGCGCTGCTCATTACGCAGAAACTGAGCAAGGGCAAAGGACCGTGAAGCCGCTAGCTCGGAACCCTTCTGCCCGGGGTCGCGTAAGGGGAGCGTCACAACGTACTTGCCACATTCCTCTCTTTTCGTCGTCTGGACAAAATTGTGCTCGCAAACTGAATCCGATTCCGAACTTATCGGTGTGGGCACATCTTCCACCTTCCAGAATTTGGTGAGGAGCTGATCCAGTGAGTCACCGAGGCTGTGGGCCACTCGTGTTGATAATGGGGGCTGGAGATAATGGGCCTGTCAGCACCCATCCAAAAATGGTCTCCTGACCGAGAAGCGACCCGCATATGGTAGCCTTGGCATTACGGAGAAGAATGGACGGAAGAATGTCAGCTCCTATTAACACATCGACTTGGGAGCTCTCAAAGAAGTTGGGGTCCGCCAGGGGAATGTCGGGCAGCCCCTTGAGACGATCTCGCGCAATCGGGTATGATGGCAGATTTCCTGCCAACTGCGGCAGAACGTAGGCCGCAGTCTCTAATTGTAGCCCGGGTCTAGACGGCGACCGAATAGAGAAATGGAACAATTTAGTAGACTGCGCGGAAATGGTCAGATTAAGGCCGGAAACTTGGGCTTGAATCGTCTTGAAGGGTGGTTTGACGAGGTTGAACAGTCGTTCCGTTATGGACGTCGCTTCGGACCCTGAGTCTATCAGTGCTCGTGCCTGGAAGCTGCACCCTAAATGGCACACGTTGATAAGGGCCGTGCCTAGTAGGACGGCTCCTGACCCGGAAGCGAAACACACCTGCACATCCGACTGATCCTCTGAGCCGTTTGTGCTTCTGGCAGTTTGTGCGGGTTGAGCCCTTGCTGTCGTAGGCGGACTTGGAGCGGTGGCGAACGGATTGCCACGGTGCAGGAGGGTGTGGTGTCGGATGTGGCATGTGAAGCAGGAATGGGTGCTCGTGCAGTCTCGCTGCTGGTGCCCTCGGGCAAAACAGTTTAAACATAACTGCTTCCTCCTTATGTAGTCAGAGCGCCCATTTACATCCATTTCTAGGAAACGCGGATATAAGCGAATGGGGTGGTCCTCCCTCGAACAGAGATCGCAGCCCTTTTGGCCCGGAACCACTCGAGTCTCGTATGAAGTGAGCCTCCGAGCAGGGACAGTAGGAAGTCCCGACCTTGGCTGAAGTTGCCCGGAGCCTTTAAGCCTGACGTCGTCGATTGCTTCCAGAGTGCGATGGCGCTCTGTCAGGAAGTTGTCTAATTCCTTCCATGTTGGAATTTCGGCCTTGTTATGAACGGATTGCTCCCACATGGAAAGTGTGACTTTGGGGAGCTTTGACGCAATCATAAACACCAGGAGGCAGTCCCAAGCCTCAACATTGATGGCGGACATTGCTGGAGCTGTCAGACAACTCTGAATGTTGGCTTGGAGCTCCTTCAGCGCGACCCCGGACTCTTGAGAAATAGCCTGGAGGTTGAAAAGGATTTTCAACTGGCTATTGACCAATAGCCGCCGGTTCTCAAAGCGGTCTGTGAGGCTTTGCCAAGCGACGACAAACTCCTCATGGGTAAGCGGAGCCTTAGAGACAATGGCGTGGGCGTCTCCACTTGTTTTGGACAGTAAGTGGAACAACCTCTCTACCGGGGTGAGCCGCGAGTTTTGGATGTAAATGGCCGTAAACAAGTCTCTGAAGGTGGGCCACCGAAAATAATCACCAGCGAAGACCTCGGTATCCACCGGAGGTAACCGGCAGCCTGTAGACGCGGGCGTGTGTACATTGACGGAAGCCTGAGTGGATTGGGAAGCAATTTTCTCCCGAAGCTGGGCAATACATCTCGAATAGACGGAGTAACAGTAGTTGTACTTCGATTCCAGCACGGTCGAGGTGGCCACATTGTCGTCTGACACGGCTAGTAAATCGGAGCAGCTCTCATAGCTTTTCTCCACCTTCTCCCACAGTGCCCGTATTTGGTCCCGATGGACCTCGCAAATGTATTGGGAGTCTCCTTCCGTTTCTCTGGCGCCCGGAGTATTTATGTTAGCCTCAAATTGGCTAATTCGATCTGTTGTGGCGTTGAACTTTTTCAGCGCCACGTCATCCGCACTTTGAGCCATTTTTGCAACGGAGTCTGCCTCTGTGAAGGACCGGGAATTGTATTGACGGATTCGTCACTCTTTGCCTTTGGGATGGCACTGTACGCCTTAGGCTTTAAAAGAGGCGTCCGCGGAGAAGCAGATTGAGATCTGTCCAAACGGATGGTTGGGATCGGACGTGGCTTTTGGTCGTCTCCCGTGGGCATTCTCAGACACCAATTCGCTGGTCAGAGCTTGTCGACTGACGCGCGCAATGGGTGCCTCGTACGAAGCGGTAGCCGGTCACTAATGTGATGAGACCGGTGACATCGCTGAATTGCGATTGCAAGGCCAAGTTGGAATTAGAAGCGCCGATGTCGGAGGAACGTCGGATGCGGCACAATTCGGATGTGGGAGAAACTTCAGGAAGTCAAAAAAACCAGATGGGCCAAGGTTTGTTGAGATTCGAGGCGGATGTTGCCAGATGCGGAGTAGAAACAGCGTTAGGAAAATGACGGAACGGAAAATGGACAAGGACCGGAAAATTCGTGATCGTTCGGAAAAATAATTGATGACTGTCTATATATGTATGTATATTTCGACCAGTATGGCTCGTACGTAAATATTCAATTCCTAACTATTTTCGAATTTGCGGAGCCGGAAAGGTGGACTTGACCTTGGCTTGGATTTAACTCAGAGAAAAAAATAAATAATTAATTTTTGCCTAATTGTCGGATTTAATTATTATGGAAACAGACGGGTGGAGTTGAAAATTTCAATTTTTAATCAATGGAGGTTAAGTAACCCGAAGCTGGAACGGTGGAATTGAAACCGCGGCTAGGTTCAAAAAGAAGATCGACAAATAAATTATTTAATTATAATTTTTTTTCCGATAATTAAATTTTCGACTTGAATTATTGAGTGGCCGGAAAGGTGAATTAAAAAACCCTGGCCCTTTGCTCGGACGGAAAATACGAATTAAATAAATTTTTTAGTTATAATTATAAATAAATAAATTTATAATTTATTGATTTTTTTTTTTAATTTGTTCGGTTATATATTTCCTGAAATTGGAGGCAGAAAATATTGAGAAATATATGGGCATGCATGCAAGTAGGGCAAGGGCATGTGGGGCATATGATGGCACAGTGGAACGTCGATATAGGTGGACTGTATAGGTTAAATTTTATCGGTTATATATTTCCTGAAATTGGAGGCAGAAAATATTTGGAGATATGTGGACATGCATGCAGGTACGGATATATGTAAAGGCATGCGGGCATATGTTGGCACAGTGGAGCGTCGATAATATGTAACTGCGGAAACGGAAAAGTTATGTGGTGTTTAAAATTGGGGAAGACTAATATTACGACAGCGGCGGACTGTTCGGTGAACTTGGAGATTCCCGGAACCACTTCACACCGGCTGGCCAATATTAATAATGCACTTTTTTTTTTTCACCACACACTTTCACTGTTCACTCGCGGATTTTTTTTTTGCGGATTAATTGCACCAAACACAATGTATGTGTGTATGCATGTACATATGCGTCGACCGTTGGCGAGTAAACGGATATCGGAAAGGCCAAAAAACGGCGAGGAATATGGCGAGGCACACAAAACGGAGATGGATGTAAAATTTTGTAGATTTTTTTTATATTAGAAAAAGTCTCAAGCTGCCGTGGTGTCGGAAAACTCGGACTCGGAGTTGACACGGAGGGAAAAACCATCTTGCAGCAGTGTGAACGAAATTTAATGTTCCGACCACTGCTGAAGACCGGCAGAGAGACGGAGACGGAAAAAATTTCGTACCTATCTTTTGGCGGAGCAATGCCTGGACTGCTGGTGGACGATATCCTAATAATTAAAATATCCTGAATATCCAGATAATCCGGCTCGAAGGACCAAAATGTGTAGGGGGGCGTTGGTTCCGCAAAAGACTCCAGAAATGGGGATGAAATGATAAGTCGGGAGCGTCTTCAGTAATTTCCAAAAGAAACGCGTTCAGCTTTATTGGCTGCGTACATCGAATTGCCAACTTAAAAACTAGTACAAAAAAAGACGATCGACGACAACCAACGAGCTAGAAGAGAGGGCACAGAGGGGCGAGTGTGGATGCGCTCTTCAGCGCGGGTGCGCTCTTTAGCGCGGGTGCGCTCTTTAGCGCGGGTGCGCTCTTTAGCGCGGGTGCGCTCTTTAGCGTGGGTGCGCTCTTAAGGGGAGCGGCCTCACGGCCCCTCACCTAAAAAAACATTATACCGCAAATCTTTTCAAATAGCCATTTCGTCCATCACAACGAAGACTTGGGAATCATTATTGTTTTTTCATTTTTTTTAATTTTTCGAAAGAATTATTTGTAAAACCAGGTTTTAGTTTTTTCATAGGAGCCCCTCGGTTAAGGGTTTTTACGTGGGGCATGCTCAAGTTTAATTTATCCCTAAGAAAAGAATATGTTGAAAGCGATATATAGAAGATGTTTTGGGTCAAACATTGTTCCTCTGGGGCAGGGTGCCCAAGCTCTGCATATGCGAAAAAAAACTCCCATAGCAATGAAAAAAATCACCAATAATTTGTTGCGAGAATTTCTTTCCCCATCCATGTGAGTGCACTGAAAAATAAAATTAAATTGATATGGCATCCTTTTGTTGAATATCATTATATACATAGAATAAGTAGTTCGCTTTGAGTCGTTAAGTTGACGAGAACTCAGGAAATGAATTGACTGTCGAATAATCGTTTATTATAATTTCCACGACTCGTTTTTCAACTCTCGTTTTTTCACTTGTACTACTGCGATCTGATTGTTGGACCAAATTCCAAGAGGTTATAGGCCCAGTTCCCTAGTGCAAGTAAATTAGGCAGAAAGTGCTGTGAACAACAAGCCGTGAAAAATTCCAAGTGCGTTCATTAAAATAGAGCCGCTAAACGCAGAGAAGTATGACACGTGGAAATTGCAGATGAGTGCCATACTCGTGTAGAGCGATCTATGGGCATATATAAACGGCTCAAAATTGTGCCCAGATGGGGAGGCTGAGCAAGCAGCTTGGAAAAAACAAGATGAGAAAGCTCGTGCATACATCCTATTGTCAATCAGCCCATCTGAATTGGCATGAATCAAAAACTGTGAATCGGCAAGAGAATATTGAATCAATATTGACCAGTGCGTAAAGCCATATATAGTTCTCCGGATTCCTATGAAACATTTCGATGAGCAATAGAGACACGTGATAAATTGCCAAATCCTGATATTCTGCGTGTGAAAATATAAGAGGAATCAGAAGCGCGTAAAGGCAAAAGTGAGCGCGAAGAACAAAGTGCGTTGTATGCAAGTCGCCGAAAAGGCGGAGGTAAAGCAGAAAAAGACCAAAGAGAAACGAGAAAATGTTATACATGCAATAAAATCGGTCATCTCGCACGCGACTGTCGAAGTAAATCGAAACCAAATGAGAAGAACGGGCAAAACGAAAGTAAAGCACATATTAAAAAGGAACATTCCCAAATCACTGCCAAAGATAATGAAGGTTATTTTCGTAAAAATGAAGCAGTTATTATGAAAAATAATAAAGAAGTGTGGCTTCGTGCAAAAAGATATGGAAACCTGAATTATTTGAATGCCGAATAACATCAAGCGAACAATATAAATGACAAAGAAAGTGATATAAATATCTGGCAAAGCCGTATGGGCTATTTAAATGAATGTGATTTAAGGCGCATGTCAAAGACTGGAAAAGTGCACGGAATGATTATTGGCGAGAACGCAAAGATTTGAAGTGTGAAATTTGCATAAGCAAAAAGCAGACAGTAAACCACTACAAGAACGCGAAGGAAAAGAGGTCGAAGCTGCCATTGGAAATCGTCCACAGGGACGTGTGTGGACCAATGCCAAACCAATCGTTAAGCGGATATAAGAAGTTTGTTTGGTCATCGAGAGTTTTCGATGCCGTAAATAAAAAATCAGAATTTAATTAATTTCAACGTTATAAAACTTTATTCAGGCCGCATATGAAATTAGGATTTATGTACAATATTTCAAATCCAATTTAGGATGCGAGCGCAGTAAGAAGGCGAACGAGAGTGGCGCCAACCTTGCAGAATAGGCTGAGCGGATGCTCGCTAACTATAAGCGCCGAAGTAGCGAAGCCGAGCGGCCGAAAGAGAGTCGGCTTGCGACCAGCAAAACATCAGTTACTTATTAATTGTTGTGTTTAAATTAGTTGCTTGCTGCTTGACCCGACATTCTCCCCCCAGTTGGGGCTTCTACTCCAACTTCATCTTTAAGGGGCAAAAGGCACAGCTTAGTCACTGCTCGCTTGGTAATTCCAGATGAGGTTTTTATCACCGCCACTCGAAAGATGCCATCCCGACCAGGGATTAACTCCATTATTCTCGCAAGCGGCCATTTCATCGGAGGTAGATTCTCGTCCTTTACTAGCACCACATCGTTCGGGGCCAAGGCAGGACCAGAGGCGCGCCATTTGGAGCGCTGCTGGAGAAGACTTAGGTACTCCTCCTTCCATCGGGACCAGAAAGACTGCTGCAGGAAAGACACGCGCTGCCAGCTGTCCAACCGGTTGAAGTTCAGCTTTGTGACATCAGGCTCGATAAAGCTGACTGACGGACCACCAGTTAAAAAATGAGCCGGGGTCAGAACATCAAGGTCTGCAGGATTTTCTGAAAGAGACAATAAGGGTCGTGAATTTATAACAGCCCCAATATGGCACAGCAGCGTTCGCAGCTCCTCGAATCCCAGAACTGCAGATCCGACAGCTCGTTAAAAATGGTGCTTGGCGGTTTTAACAGCCGCTTTCCACAGACCACCGAAATGCGGAGATCGAGGAGGAATAAAATGCCATTCGATGGACTCCATAGAGCAAAACTCCAGCAGTGACCGTTGATGCTCTTCGCTTAGAAATAATCGGCGCAGCTCCTTTAGCTCGTTTTTGGCTCCAACAAAGTTGGTTGCGTTGTCAGACCAAATATGTTGAGGACTTCGGCGGGTGCATATAAACCGCTTCAAAGCCTGCAAAAAAGCCATTGTGGACAGATCCCTTACAAGCTCCAGGTGGACGGCTTTCGTAGCAAAACAAATGAAAATGCTAATGTAACATTTTACTGGAGCCTTATTACGCACTTCCGGCTTATAATAGAACGGTCCACAAAAATCCACACCAGTGACTCCGAAGACCTGGGAGCCGCTAACTCTTTCCTCCGGGAGATCAGCCATAATGTGCTGCAACAGCCGAGGCTTAGTCCGGAAGCATCGGATGCATTTGTGTAATGCCTTCGTCACGGTTTTTCTCCCCCCAATTGGCCAATATTGGGACCGAATAATTGCCAACAGTGCGCGAGGTCCCGTATGTAAATTTCGCTCATGGAGGTCAACAATTATAGCCCGCGTAACTGGATGGCTTCTTGGAAGTATAATTGGATGCTGACTATCAAAATCCAACGACG